AGGAACGCACTGTTCCGCGCCGCGCGGCGGCACTGACCCGCTAGGGTCCTACACTGTCATGGACTAGGGTCGTGCACTACCCTGCAGTAGAGTCATACACTGCCCTGCACTAGGGACTTGCACTGCCCTGCACTGGAGCCCTGCACAGTCCTGTACAACTGTCCTTCACAATTGCCCTGCACTGCCCTAGGCCCTGACGACACGCGAGCGGAAGAACCGCCCATTTTCAGCGCGACGAAACAAACCCGCGTACCGCGCGGCCGCCGTTTCAAACCGCTTACCTCCCGCCGGCCGATTCAAAACCGCTTACCTCCGCCGGCCCTTTCCCAAAACCCCGCTTACCTCTCCCAGGCCGAGGCGGCGCGTACGGGGTTTGAAACGGGCCGGCGGAGGTAAGCGGTTTTGAATGGGCCCGGGGGAGGTAAGCGGGTTTGAAACGGCGGCCGCGCGGTACGCGGGTTTGTTTCGTCGCGCTGAAGATGGGCGGTTCTTCCGCTCGCGTGTCGTAGTCCCACACCGCCCTGACTGCCCTGCTCTAGTGTCCCACACTGCCCTGCACTAAAGTCCTATACTGCTTGGCAACGCGGCGAGTGAACGTTCTAACTATGCACACGTCACTTGCTTTTATTTCGCGAGACTGCAACATCGAAAAACAAGGAACGGAAAAGCGTGGGACCGGAGAATGCAGGACAAGGAAAAAAAAGATATTTAAAAAATAAAATAAAAATGAAAGAAATAAAAGAAAAATGCAGGGGGGGGGGCTAGTGCTGCACCGCGCATGGCCGCCCGATAAATTTTACTCCGGTATTGGTCACAGTTTTTGCAGCGGGCTTATCGGCGCAGCGCATATGCCGCGCGATTATAAAAACGGAATAAAACGGCGCGCAAAATCGACAAAGAAAAACGAAAAACGAAAATAAAAATAACACAAAAAAGGCGCGGGCAAAACGCGCGGCGCTGGTCCGCCGCGCCGCGCGCACGGCCCCACACACTGGAAAATAAATAAAAGCGTTCATCCCGTTTCATTCATGAGATGAGGCAGCCCGCCTATCCGCCCATATGTGACGGACTATCGCCAAATGCAGCCGTGATGCCACAGGGCCTGGCACGGCCAGGCATAGCACGGCCAGGCATAGCACGGCCAGGCATAGCATGGCCCCTCCCTGGGCCGGGCCGCCGAAGCCTGTCCCCACACCGCAGCCGGTCCCTTACACCGGGTGCAAATTAGCAGATGATAAACCTCTCTGTTTGACGTGTCTGGTCGCAACCAGCAACACACACACACCACAAAAACGAAGAGAGAGGGGAGAGAGAGAGGAGAAGAGAGAGGGGAGAGAGAGAGAGGGGAGAGAGAGAGAGAGAGAGAGAAAAAAAGAAAGAGAAAAGAGAGAGAGAGAGAGAGAGAGAGAGAGAGAGAGAGAGAGAGAGGAGGGGCACACACGACTAACGTATTTAAAGTCAAAACCATTTCCCAGACACCGCTGCTTTTTGATGTGTGTCCCCGTGCAATCGGTACACTGGAATGACAGCAAAACATTGGATAAAAGTTACGTCAAAGACTGAAAAAAAAAATAGAACGGACCGTGTCCGCGAGCTTGGCACGGTGCTAAGTTCAAATCCACCTTGTAGTCTCTGGCAACGTGAATTTGTTGCTATTTTTCTCGGCGTTTTTCGGATAGGGAAGTCCCAAAAAGGGCACGTGGGGGGGGTGATAAAGCACACTGGCTGGTCGGCAATCTTTCGGGGCCTTTCAGCGGACGGCGCCCGCACTCCACGTGGTGGGAAACTGGGCGGATAAATATGCATCGAACTTACTGAACACAAAACAAACTCACACGTATGTGCGCGCACACACACACACACACACACACACACACACACACACACACACACACACACACACACACACACACGTGCGATCTAGACTCACGGGACTCCAAGGACGCCACAAAACCCATACTAATGAGGATGGAAGACTACTACAGACTATGGTACAGTCCGGACCGAAACCGGCTCGATCCGCGGAGACAGGTCGACAGTAAGTCAATCAGACAGACAGTCAGACAGTCAGTCAGACAGGTCGCACAAAATCACATTACTCTACAACAGTCAACACTTTACAGTGGACTTAACAGGTGAGACGCGATCGCGGGTGGTACAGTCCATACAAAGTAGACGCAGCAGACGCACAGCACAGAAAAGAAAAAAAAACGTTCCAGTTTGTGAATACAGGCGAGAGGCGCCACGCCGACACGGCAGCTTCTTGACCTAACCTAACCCGGCTTGGAAAGGGTCCACCGCGGAAAGCCAGCCACAACAACAGGAAAAAATCATGAAATAACCGCAAAAGAAAGTTTGAACAGAAAAACAGTGGATCGGGCTATAAGTGTATCGGCGGTCAGCGAGCGAGCACCAGACGGCGGAGCGCGACCGGGTGCATCTTCCGGCCTGGCGTGGCTCGCTGGGCCCTCGGCGCGCCAAACGCACCTGAGGAAGCAGCACGCTCACACTCACACACGCACACACACGCGGCGCAACAGTAGCAAACAGAAGCCGCGACGGAATGGGGCGCGGTGGGGCATGGCGGGGCGGGGCGGGGCGGGGCGGGGCGGGGGAGCCCGCGGCACGTCTCAAAGGAACGCCTCACCTCACGTCAGGACCATTAGATTTATCGTCATATTTTACATTTGGAGCATCGCGCGCCGCGCTGTGCGTGTGTGCGTTTGTTGGTGTGAGCGTGAGTGTGTGTGTGTGCGTGTGTGTGCGCGTTGGCCACTGGCATGCGCTTCCCCTCGCCAATTACCCGCGCCGTGCTCTGCACTGCTCCTGCACTGCTCAGGCCGCGCCACGCGAAGCAGGCGGAGCACTTGGCGGTGGCAAAGCGTCCGCGATGACGGCCGTCACGGCCAGCACACAGTGGGCCAGCCACCGGTGGAGGCGGCCAGCTCTAGACGCGTTTTGAGCTCCAGAGTCGCTAAACAGGACTCGAACCGAACGTGTGACCCCACCAATGGATTCCTCGTTCGGAGAGCAATCCATTGGCGGGGTCACACGTTCCGTTCGAGTCCCATTTAGCGACTCTAGGGCTCAAAACGCAACTAGAGTTTTGGCCGCCTCCACTGACGGCCAGCACCGCCAGGAGACTGATCCAAGAGTCGTCTTCGTCGCTCTGTCTCTCTCGCGTCCGTAGGGAACGCCCTTTGAGTGCGAGAGAGGCAGAGCGACGAAACCGCCTCTCGGAATCAGTGTGCTGCACGCCGTGGCGCTCCATTTTGACAGCATTTTAAAAGCACCACGCGCGGCGGCGCGGCGCTCCGGACGGGTTTTCTACTTCGCGCGGTCCTCGGCCAGAGCATCATCGCGCGGGTCGCCGCGGCGCCGCGGCTGCGCCGGCCGGTGGCGTCAGCGCGTCAGCGCGCATGAGCTGGCGCTGCGCGGGCTGTCCTCGAGTCCCCCGTGTCCACGTGCCGTGCGGCCCGTGCCCCGGGACAGCAGCGCGCGGCTGCACCATGGCCGTGACCGCGCGGGGCTACGCGGAGCTACGCGGAGCTACGCGGAGCGGGGCCAAAAGGGCGGCATACTTACCGTGGGGCACATCTTGCAGGTGTACTTCCGCGCCACGCCGGTGCCGTTGGCGGTGGTGATGGTGGAGCCGGTGGGCTGCGGGCCGCCCTGCATCTTGGACACGTTGATGGGCTGCGGCACGATGAGCATGGCCTGGTGCTGCGACAGCGCGGCGCCGGGGCCCGAGCCCCCCGCCAGCGCCCCGCCGCCGCCGCCGCCCAGGGCGCCGACGCCGCCGAGGACGCCGCTGCCGCCGCCGACGGGAGGCGACGCGGACGACGACGACGAGGCCGACCGCGGGGGCGCGCCGCCGTAGATGCTCATGCCCTGGTCGTCCATGCCTGCGAACACAAGGCGGAGCCGTGAGGAACGTCGTTCGAGTCCAGCGACACAGAGGGCCAGAAGACCGGTGGAGGCGGTCAAGAACCCGGACGCGTTTTGAGCTGTAGAGCCCATGGGACTCGAACCAAACGTGTGACTCCACCAATGGATTGCTCTTCAAACGAGGAATCCATTGGTGGGGGTCACACGTTCGGTTCGAGTCCCATTTAGCGACTCTCGCGTCTAGAGTTTTGGCCGCTGGAGCCCGTCTTCTAGCCCACCGTATGACAACGCTATGACGAGTAACAAGAATTTGACTCTGCTTCGGTTGCCGACCTTTCCTAGCCCAAGAACAAACACACCGTCGAAAACTGATCGTCAACTTCGCTTCCCTGCGGACGGCTCACCTTCGTCCAATCCTCGGTCCAATCGATGCTATCTCATCCCGATCGGCGCTCCATCCTCGCCATCCCACCCAAAACACACACACACACCACGCACACACACACACACACACACACACACACACACACACACACACACACACACACACGACGCGCGGGCTCCAGAAAACGCCCGGTTTTCGGCCAATAGTTTGAGCCGGAAACTTGGTGCCCGTGATTGCGGCACTAAGCTGGCTAACGAGGCCACCTGGGTGCTTAAGGCCAATGCCGTGCCGCGGCCCATGGCGCGACCCGCGGCTCGGACCGCCGCGCGCGCCGCAGAATCACTCCCGAGTAATTATTTATCCGCTGTGGATACATCAAAACCTTATCTATATTATTGCGCCGTTTCGGCAGCGGGCCTCGCGCGGGGCCCAGTCCGGCCTGTGTAACACCGAGAGCAAGCGCCAGGCTGATTCCGAACAGTGTGCACTGTAAAAAGTCGTTTCTTGAACCAAGATATGCTGCTTGGAACAGGTAAATTTGCTAGGAACATTGTCTGTCGCACTTATGGGGCGTTCTGAGGGAGCGAGACAGGACACAGCAGCGTGACACGCGCGTCGCGTCGCATCCCGTCGCACAGTGGGCCTAAAGACGCGGGGGTGGTAAAAACGCAAAATACATTTTGAGCTCCAGAGTCACTAAATGGGACTCAAACTAGACGTGTGACCCCACCAATGGATTCCTCGTTCGGAGAGCAATCTATTGGTGGGGTCACACGTTCACTTTGAGTCCCATTTAGCGCCTCTAGAGCTCAAAACGCGTCTAGAGTTTTGGCCGCCGCGCCGGTCTTCTGGCCCACTGTGCGTCGCCGGGGTGGCGTCCATCCAGGGCTCCGCGGCGGCGGGCGGCGGGATCGCTTTGCAACCCCACACTGCCATTAATTATACAAAAATGTTGCCGAATGCCTGCGAAATACGAGCCAGCCGGCCCGACCCGATCCTCATTTGCGGCAGATTGACAGCCTTGGTCTAGTCCACACAGTCAATCCACACAGTCCACCGAAACGAGACCCAACCGGTTGGGGCCGCGCGGGGCGGGGCGCGTCCGAGGCGGCGGGCGGCGACGTGACGGCCCGAGAGGCAGTCAGGCAGGCCGCGTGCGAAAGTGTCCGTCCGTCCGTCTGTCTGTCTGTCTGTCTGTCTGTCTGTCTGTCTGTCTGTCCGTCCGTCCGTCCGTCCGTCCGTCCGTCCGTCCGCGTGTCCCCCACGCGAGTCCGTGACAGGGCCAGCCCCAATTCGAGTGGGACTCTAGTATCGCACGCTCCGAATCCAAACCGCTTCTTTTTATTTATGTCGAAAAGTCACTTTTCCGACCACTTTCTGGTGCACGCGGCGCTATTCGAGCCAAACCAAAGCAAACCGCAACTGCAGCTTCTCCCCGCGCAGCGCTAAGCCGCGCGCTGCACGCATCGTGGGAGCGCGGACCAGCAGCAGCCTCGCTTTGCTGGAAACAGAGCGATATTCGCGAGGTGGTGGCGGGGGCGGCGCGGCCTGGGGGCGTGGCGATACACCCCGCACCTGACCACACCCCGCCCCGCCCCGCGCGGGCTACCGCATCGGTGCGCAATATGCAGCGCTCGGTCCGAAACAAAAACACACGGACTGTTTCAAGGAAATAACGATGCGGTGGGCATGGCGACTGTACCGTTCCACTGTGAGCCACTCTTTGATGCTCTTTGGCAGAGCGGAGCGCAGGCGCGGCCTGCCGCGTCGTTGCGGGAGCGCCGCGCGTGGAGCACTTGGTTGTCCGGGTTACTGAGTGCGGGGGGTTCGGGTGGTCCTGAAGGTTTAGGGGTTTCCGGTTTGAGAGATTCGAGAGCGTTTGGGAGTTTCGAGAGGTTCGAGAGGTTCAGGAGGTTCAAGCTGGTTCGAGAGGTTCAGGAGGCTCAGGAAGTTCAAGCAGGTTCGAGAGGTTTGTGAGGTTCAAGCAGGTTCGAGAGGTTCAGTGTTCACTGAACCTGTGGAACCCTTTGAACCTGGCTCAGGAGGTTCAAGAGGTTCGAAAGGATCTGGTATTCGTGGTCGATTCCCCTGGCACTGGCAGTCCAACGCGGACTGCACACGTGTCGGTAATGTCGGACGGTGGCCAATGGAAATGAATGGACTGACAGGCAGACAGACAGCCAGGTCGAGGATTCAGATTGTAATTGACGGCTAATAACGGAAGGCCAGATCGTCGGTGGATCGTCCGGCCAGTGTAGCCACACCGACGCAATGGCTGGCCGCGGCAGGCCACTGCCAACGCCCCACACCACTGCACAGTAGTAGACCGGAGGAGGCGGTCAAAATCCCGGACGCGTTTTGAGCTCCAGAGTCGCTACTCTACAAACTGAAGTGTGTACTCAGTATGCATCTACAGATGCATACTTGCAAGTACACACCTACAGATGCATACTTAGCAGGGTACACACCTACAGATGCATACTTAGCTGAGCACACATCTGCAGATGCATACTCAGCTGAGTACACATCTGCAGATGCATACTTGGAGGAGTTAGGTATGCATCTGTAGGTGTGTACTCAGCCAAGTATGCATCTGTAGATGTGTACTCAGCTGAGTATGCGTCTGTAGATGTGTACTCAGCTAAGTATGCATCTGTAGGTGTGTACTTGCAAGTATGCATCTGTAGATGCATACTGAGTCCACACTTCAGTTTGTAGAGTAAAAGGGACTCGAACCGAACGAGTGGCCCCACCGATGGATTGCTCTCCGAATGAGGAATCCATTGGTGGGGTCACAAGCTCTGTTCGAGTCCTGCTTAGCGACTCTAGAGCTCAAAACGCGTTCAGAGCAGTTCAGAGTTTTGTCAACCGCCACCGGTTTTCTGGCCCACTGTACAGTACATGCAGCTTCCTTTCCTTTTTACCGCGGGCTCTATGGGTCGCTAAGCCCAGACAGCCTTTCTCCAGCCATCCCGCATCCCACGTGTCGCCGAGTCTCTGCCGAGTCCCACCGGTTCGCACGCCTCGTCGCGTTTTGGTGGCGTCCCCTCCGCGGCCCGGCTGCCGAACGCGCGACTGCCGCGGTGACGTGGACCTCGGTGTCATCGTCGCTCCGTCTCCCTCGCACTGCCACGGCACTGCCATGGGAAGCCGCAAGAGTGCGACAGAGACGCCGACGAAACTGGACGGCGGAATCGCTATCGCTCGGCCGGCCGGACTATGCAAAACTGGCGGCAGCTTACGTGACTCACAGTCCGGTCGTCTTGGAGGACTCGTCCGCGAAGAGACTCGCCCAGGACTTCTTGACGCGTGTGCGAAAAGTGGGCGTGTCCCACCGGCAGCCTGCAGCCTCCAGCCGCCGCACAGTGGGCCAGCAGACCGGTGGAGGCGGCCAAAACTCTAGACGCGTTTTGAGCCCTAAAGTCGCCAAGCAGTACTCTAACCATACGTGTGACCCCACCAATGGATTCCTCGTTCGAAGAGCAATCCATTGGTCGGGTCACACGTTCGCTTCGAGTCCCATTTAGCGACTCTGGAGCTCAAAACGCGTTCGGGATTGCGACCGCTTCCACCGGTCTTCTGGCAAATCCGCGCCGCGCCCAGCTGATTCACCTCCCGCACGCGCGCACCATTCTTTGGCGCGACACGCGCCGCCACACTGTTTCACTGTTTCGAAAGGACGCAATCGAGAGTCTCGAGTCTCGATTCGAGACAATGGCAGCGAATCGGTGCGGAATTCCCCCGCGTGCGACAAGGAGCGCGTCGTACTTCCGATAGGCGGCGCCGCTCTCTCTCTCTCTCTCTCTCTCTCTCTCTCTCTCTCTCTCTCTCTCTCTCTCTCTCTCTGCCCGGTCGTGGTCATAGGGATGCAAAAATACCGGTAAGATTCAAAGTTACGTAAAATACGGTAAAATACGGTATTTTACCGTATTATACGGTAAAATTGGGTAAAATTGATTTTTCTTGACTTTGGGGGGTAATTGTGGTACCTCTTGTGAAAATAGGGGGGAAAAAGGTCCGTTGGGGTTAGGGTGTATCGTTTACATCGTTTCATACATACTTCCAAGCCAACATGACTCAAGAACAAGGTCGCATTTTGAAAGACAAGGAACAAACACTGTGTGGGTTAAATATATGAACTATTCTCCGACTTACTGACCCCTCCCCCTAATGTCTGAATTTCGTGGACTTTCCCTTTTTGTTAATAAATTTTGATTCTGTCTGGTTCTTTTGACTGTAAATTAACAGCCCAAATATACTGAAGTGCAAAAATGGCGCCTTTTTTCTTGTTGTCCATGTAAGTTGGCTCAATTTCATGAAAACTCTTTTTCCTGAAAGGCACCGGCGGCCCCATGGTGTCCAATCATGTCAATGTTTATTGCATTTTTCAGCTAACCTAACCTAATAAGTATCTACCCCTATTTTTCCTATTTTCTGTTTAAAGTTAGTTTTCATTATACTTATCTTGGCAACAAAGAAGTTTCTGGTTTGGCTCGTGTAGTTAGATTTTAATTTCCACAAGTTTTGCAAAAAAAAAAAAGAGAACATTGACTTCTTGCTTTGTTTTAAGTGCCCTGCCCATCTCTGTCATCTCTGACGTCTTACACGTACATGGTCCGGCGGGAGGGGCAG